TATGTCGTGGGGTAGTTCTATTTTGATCTGGTCTGTTTGGTGTCCTGGAGGTCTCTTGCATCTGTATGGGACCATCTTTCTCTAGTTTTGGGGAATTTTCTGTTATTATTTTGTTGAATATATTACACATTCCCTTTGCTTGCACGTCTTCTCCTTCTTCGATGCCCATGATTCTCAAGTTTGGTCTTCTGCTGGAGTTGGTGGGTTCTTGCATTTTCTTTTCACAGGTCTTGAGTTGTTTAATTAATAGTTCTTTGGTTTTTCCTTTAATTACCATTTCATCTTTTGAGTTCTGAGATTCTGTCTTTTCTTTGGTTCTATTCTTCTGGACTGGCCTTCCGTTTTGTTTTGCAGTTCTGTTTCGTTCTTTTTTCTGAGGTTTTCCATATCCTGGGTGGTTTCCTCTTTAATGTTGTCTATTTTTGTCCTGAGTTCATTTATCTGTTTATTCTTCGTGTTCTCTGTTTCACTTTGGTGTTTATACAGTGCTTCTATGGTTTCCTTTATTTCTTCTTTTGCTTTTTCAAATTCTTTATTTTTGTTGTCTTGGAATTTCTTGAGTGTCTCCTGTACATTTTGGTTGACCATATCCAGTATCATCTCTATAAAATTCTCATTGAGTACCGTAGTATGTCTTCTTTTAAATTATACTTGTGGGCTTCATTGGGTTCTTTGGCATAGTTTATCTTCATTATTTTGGAGTCTGGATCTGAGTATCTGTTTTCTTCATTTCCCTCTGATTCCTGTACTAATTTTTTGCTGTGGGGAAACTGGTTTCCCTGTTTTTTCTGTCTTCCTGTCGTTGTCCTTGGTGTTGTTACTGTCCCTCTACTGTGTGCAATTAAGTATTTTGTAGCTTGTAATAATAACAATGGTAGTATTTAGAATGGAAGGGTGAGAGGAGATGGAAAACAAGAAGTTAAAGAAGAAGGGAAAAACAAATAAACAGATAAGTAGGAAAAAACAAAACAAGGAATCAAACAAAAAAGTTTTAAAGGTATAAACAGGGAGTGGCATTAGAGAGAGAGAGGATTGAAAATAAAAAATAAGTAGAATAAAGATAAGAATAAAAATAAAAAATAAATGAAAGAAATATATATAAATAAAATAAAACAAAATGTAAAATAGAAAATAAAAAAAAACCTCCAAGTTCAAATGCAATGAAGTTTCAGTCTTAATAATTTTGGTGTCCGTCTCAGTCTCCAATCCTGAAGATGGTGTCTCAGATGTTGTTCTGTAGTTGTCTCATCAAAGGGGACGCATAAAGTAGAACAAAACTGCACACACACAAAAAAAAACCCACAAAGTGTCCCAAGTTCAAATGCAATACAGTTTCAGTAAGTTTTTCAGCATGCAGGTGTAGTTCGGTTGTTTTCTCATCAATGGTAAGGAGAGAGAAAAAAAAAAAAGAGTTTGGAGGAGACAGTTCTGTGAATGGTATCTGTGGCTGTTGCTTGCCTGCTCGCTGTTGTCAGCGTGCTGTTGCTGGAGGCGTTATTTATGCAGATCTCAGGGGTGAGCTTAACACTCACCTAGCCCCGCAGGCTTTGTTTACTCAGAGTTCTCCTGTGCGCCAGCCTCTGCCACAAGCTTTCTCCTTTCCAAGCACTGGGAAAGGTGACACTGCACCCGCTTTCTCAGGCCTGCGTGTTTGTTTACCGTTCACGTGGGAAGTGGGTCTTCCCCACTCTCCTGTGGAGTTTTCCTCCCACTGCCACTTTTATAAGCTTTCCCGTTCCTGATTGCTAGGCGGTGCTGCTGCTCCTGCCGGCCAGTGTGTTTGTTTACAGCTCACGTGGGAGGTGGGTCTTCCCCCCTCTCTTGTGGAGTTTTCCTCTCTCCGCCACTCACAAGCTTTCCCGCTCCTGGTTGCTGGGCGCATGCCCCCTCTACCACCTGAGCCTCTCTGCCCGGCTTGTTTATTTACAGTCCCAGGAAGGATTCCCTTTGCCCCCTCTTCGGTGCTCAGTGTGCCCCACCCTCTTTCCCATGTGTCTTTATTGTTCTTATTGCTTACTACTCAGTTTCTCTTTTCTCCCCGGGTGCAGGTTGGTCTGTCCAGGGGGCTATGCTGATCTGGCCCAGGGTTGTCTGTGGGAGTACCACGGTACTGCTTAGCTCACCTTGTCGGCGTCTTCCCAAGCCATCTGGGCATGGACGACTGGCAGCATAGGGGCCCTCCTGGTTTCTCCATTTAACATGAAGTGGAGATTCTCTGCGCCAGCTGGATGTATCGGGGGGTCAAAGTTTTGCCTCTTTTCAGTGGTTTTGCCTGCAAGGTGTGTCTCCAGCATCTCTCCAAGATTTCACTATAGGAGGCACACTTTCTGCTTCCTCCCTCTAGCCACCGTCTTGGAATCCCCCCTTGAATTTTCATATTCATTTTAGAACTGGTTTGTCAATTTCTGCAAAGAGACAGCTGGGAACTGGGATTCTAATACAGAGTGCAGTAAATTTATAGGTCAATTTGGGGAATACATCTTAATGATATTAAGTCTTCTAGTCTATGAATATGGATGCATTTCCATTTATTTAGACCTTCTTTAATTTCTTTCAACCATTTTTTGGGTTCTTCATTATAAGTATGTAAAAATACAATTGATTCTTCCATATTTGTTTCATACCCTGCAACTCATATGTTGGCTCTAATAGTTTTATAGACTCTTTAGGGTTGTTCTACATATAAGTTCCATGTCATTTGCAATAACAGATAGTTATGCTTCTTCTTTCCCGATCTGTATACATTTTACTTCACTTTCTTGCCTAATATTCTGTGTTAAAATACCCGGTACAACATTTAATTGAAGTTGGGAGTAAAGTTATCCTAAATTCATTCTGACTTTTACCAACAAGTATGATCTTGTTAGCTGTGAGGTTTTTATAATGTCCTTTATCAGGCCAAGGAAGTTCCTTTTAGTTTTAGTGTCTTGTCACTAAGGTTGTTGCGTTTTACCAAAAGCACTTCCTGTCTACTGAAATGATTATGTAGCTTTTGTCTTTTATTCTATTGATAAAGAATAATATATTAGTTGGGTTTTGATTCTTAAAACAAACCTACAGGGGTGGTGGAGTGGCTCAAGTGGTAGAACACCTGCCTAGCAAGCATGAGGCCCTGAGTTCAAACCCCAGTACCAAAAAAAAAAAAAAAACTACTATTAAAACAAACCTATACTCCTTCTTTTCCTGTGATGTCTCTGGTTCTGGAATACTAACATATGCAGCAAAATTTTTTTTTATAGTGGGATATCTACGGTTTTACATTGTCTGTGCTTTCAGTAGCATCCCTGGTCTGAATCTATTAGATGTCACTAAAATAGCTTACAGATTAAATTACTTTCACTAATAAAAGTATTTGATAGATATCATCATTCTGTTATCACAAGTTTTCTAATAAAAAGATTTTACAGTTCATTTTGGGTAGATTTTCTCTTTCCTAAAATGCCAAATTCTACTTAAAGTTCTGACCAGGCCAATCTTAATAAAAAAACCACTCAAAATGATGAAAGCACTCAGTTCCAACAACAACAAAAAAATTTCCTTTAGAATTTCATAAATTTAGGAATCAGATTAATTCTGTCATGGTAAATATGTTAGTTGTCTTTACATTACTGTGACAAATTACCTGAGATAATCAACTTATAAAAAAGGTTTATTTTGGCTTAGAAGTTTCAGTCCATGATCAGTTGGTCCCACTGCCATTGGTCCTGCAGGCAGAAAGTACTTTATGACAGGGAGCTTAAAGCAGAGGAAGCTGCTTACCTCATGGCAGCCAAGAAGCAAACAGAGAGACAAGAAAGAGCCATGGTCCCACTCCTGATGATCTAACTTTGTCTACTAGGCACCTCTTAAAGGTTCTACCACCTCCCAATGTCACCATGGGCTGGGAACTAAACCTATAACATATGGGCCTCTAGGGGATATTCAACATCTAAACTGTAGCAGTATCTAGTATTACTTATATTTTATTTATTCTGATATGCTATTTTTCTCTGGAACAACTCTACTTAAATTCTCAGAACAATTTTGGAACCTCAAAATTTGTATTATTTAGCAAAACCTAACTTCACCCATTCTTAAGAATTCCTAAAATGATGTATTTTCTCAAACCCCCTAAAATTCTATTACAAAAGTACAAAAACCTTTATATGAATACATACTAGGGTTTTTATGATATGTGCGGTAATTTCTGTGAAAGAATTTGCTAAACAAAGCAAATCAAGTTAAATTTACTTTTCCCTGAATACACAGCTTTCAAAGCAAAAGTTCGACAGCATAAGATGTCATTATAAAGTAATACAACTGAATTTCACACTCAAGGAAGATATTCACTTTTCCTAGGTAATCACATTAGGAGGTTACTTTATCCAAAATATAAGAACTGTAAAATTACTCTTGGAATTTTCAGAGTGAAATTACGTCCCACCTATAAGACATCATCACTCACATTTCATATTTAAAGAAAAACAGTACCTGTTTGATCAACCATCTTTATTCTTTAACCTGGGTTTCCAATGATGTCTAAGCAATTTCCAATTAAGTATATCCGCGAAGAGATAATCAACTTATAAAAAAGAAGGTTTATTTTGGCTTAGAAGTTTCAGTCCATGGTCACTTGGCCCCAGTGCCATTGGTCCTGCTTGGGTTGACGTTGAACTGCAATTCTCCTGATCTTGCACTCCCAAGTAGCTAGGCTTAGAGGTATGAACCCGGCACCCAGTTTTAATACTACTTCTTACTCCTTAGTATAAAGCACAGTTTTTTAATCAAAACAATATATCAAATAGCTATCATAAGTACAATCGTACAATTTGACAGAATTCTATCAATATTTTAACTAATAAATATTTTTATCATTCTTCAGGAACAATGTCAAATAATTCATGCTTGTACACTATTAAGTATTCTACCAAAAGCAGGTGAACTTCTGAGTATAATACCACCAAACTTGACTTATGAAATGTATTTTACTTTAACACCTCCCACATTTTTTTCTCACTTACTCAGGTTTAGAGAGCATCTTTTCCAAGTTAAATTCTTTTAGGTATCTTATTATGGCAGCCAAAGAGCAAATCACAGGTTTCTCCAAATTAATAATGCCAGAAAAACTTTGAGAACCTAAAAAAGCAGAATATATACTCTCATTAAAATTATTACTATTATGAAAAACAAATTTTAAGTTAAGTAAAATTTATTTTATGGCTAGAAATAATTATTATTAAATATTATTTGAATATTAAATACTAAGTTCACATTTACTATCAATGTTAAATATTAATTATTAAATAATTTCAATAATATCTCCTAAACTTGACCTTTGGGAAAAGGTGATTACAGATATTTATGACACGGGAAAAAGAGTAGTTTTTTGATGATGAATTAAATCTTTTCGAGAACAATACGGTATTTTTTTCAATGCTTCAAATTGTATGCCAAGATTGTATATACAGGAAGTGAGCTGAAAAATCTTTTGTGATAGTAAACTAGAGACAACCTAGGTAAACTTCCATAGGTAACAGTTAAATAAACTTTGGTAAATCCAGATTATTATGTACCTACTAAAAGGAATGACATATAGTTGTCTGAACTGACGTGGAAGGCTATTTGTAACATACTGCTAAGGGCAGTTGGGGGTGGAGTACAGTCATTATCACTCATCATGAATATTGAAATAGCTTTCCATCTGGTCTCCCTGCTTTATTCTTGCACCATATACAGTGTTCTTTTCTTTTTTGTTTTGGTTTGGTTTGCTTTTGGGGGGGGGGGGCGGTGGTACTGGGGCTTGAACTCAGGGCTTCAGGCTTGCAAAGTGGGCACTCTACCACTTGAGGCACGTCTCTAACCCTTTTTATAGGGTATTCTTAACCGTGCAACCAGAGGAATTCTTTCTAAAATGGATATCAGATTATTACATAACCTCACTCAAAAAGCCTCCGACACCTTCCACCTCAACCAAGAGTAGAAGTTGAAGTCCTCACAGCATTCTACAATGTCTCCTGTGATCTGCCTTCCATTTCCTCTTACTGCTAAGCTCACCTTCTAAATTTCTCCCCCACCCCCGCACCAACGAAGAGATTCCTCACTACTTCTTAAACATGCCCAGTACCCTCCCACCTTTAGATATTCTCCACTTTGCCTCTGCACAAAACACTGTTCCTTTCCATGTCTCCATGCTTGCCCCCTTCACTCCCTAAATCTCTGTTCCTATCTTTATCAAGTGCTATCTTTTCAGCAAGAACTGTTTAAAAATTCAAACTCCCTTCCCTGCCTTATTTTCTTCTTAGCATTTGTCACTTTCCAACACTATGAATGTTTATGGATGTGGATTTGCTCATAAAACAACTCTTAAAGATATATGCCAAATTGTTAATGATTACCCATATGACATACAAGTGACAATTATAGAGGGTTAAGTTTGAGGGTAGTAAATTCTACTATTTTCTTTATACATAACTGTGTTGTGACTTTTCTGTGACTTTTTGTAGTAACCATTATTCTTAGAAATTTTTAAAAGTATCACAAAATGCCCTTTATACATGAGCAATACAAAATATTAATTTAACTATAGCTATTCATAAAAATGTAAATAAAGAGCTAACAACACCCTTACCCCTTCCACTGAAAACTGATTTCTTTGTTTCCCTGGAAACATAAGGATGAAGGGCCAATGAGTTATGAGATAGCATTGCCTATGTAAAAATTATCTGAAATCAGGGAGTTACATCCTACCTGGAAAGAATTATAAACACTCAATTCCAGAGTGCTGGCCTTCTCTGAGTGCACTCTGATAACCTGGTGTACTTTTTGCAGAGACTGCAGAAAGGCATAGAGGCTCCTGGACAGTATGTGGCTTCCAAGACAGAGTGGCTGTTATACCCACCAGATGTCAGCCTCCTTCCTCACATATGAGCTGTCACCAGGGGAGGGAGAGAACTTTAAGCTGCAATGATGCTACAGCCTGCTATAAAGAGTGCTGAGAGGCCTACTCCCCTTAAGAGGAGCCCATGCCCTGCTGGCAAGCTGCTTTCTGCTCCACATCCTTTAGGTGAATCTGAGGCTGAGACTGGAGTATGATAGTCTTGTGATATTTGTCTAAGACTACTCATTGGTGAAGTTGCATACTGGTATGAGAAGTGGGATGCAATCTCAGACACTCGATTAAACTTGGTGAAAAACACTGAGATTAAAAGAGATATGCTAACCATGCAGTGATGCTAATGACACTGAGGCTTAAGTGGGGAGTGGGGATAAGAGTGAATAATGAAAGTTCCATGGCATGTGGCATGGCCAAACTTAACTCTGTATGGGGTCTAATGAGGACTGGAGTGAGACAAAGCTTGTGCCAAGAGGAAAAATGTCTATTCTCTTCACCATCCATGAAATGAACCCTAACATAAGCTAGACTGACAGGAATATAGGTACAAACAAAATCAAGCTTTAATGTCTGACTGACTGAAGAAATATGAATTAGACAAATAATTGTTACCTAACATATTTGGTTCTTGTCAATAATGCTCTGGTATTTTAACTCTAACCAGCCTTTCAAAACACTAGCCTAAGACTATCCAAACATTTTGTAAGACTGCGAGGCTACAAATGGATCATCTTTAAAGATGAACAAAAACAAAAGTTGATGAATAACTCCTTGCATGCCAATGAATCTGTCAAAAACATCAAGTGACTAAATGGTCACAACTAAAAAGGAAGATGCCACAGGTGCATTCTTTTTTTGGGGTGGGGGGGAATCTTCCTGCTGTTTTGTTTTGTTTTTTGAGACAGGGTTTCACCCTGTCATCCCAGGCTAGCCTCAAACTTGTGATCCTCCTGCCTCCACCTCCTAAGTGCTGGGATTACAGGTGTATACCATATACCACCATGCCTGGCTGTACTGATGAGAACAGTATCAGGGAGTTCTGCCCTTGGCTGCTTCCACTTTTTTCTGGTCACTAGCTACTCATCATTAAATTGAAAGTCAAATTTACACTATTATCCAAATTTCAAATCAGTGCAATCTGAGGATACATAGCTAACATGTATAAAATATTTACCTTTGATGTCGACTATCTCCTTTGCATAAAACTCAGTAACTGCCTGGAAAGCATGGCTATATTCAAAATAAATGTTATCCATCCTTTCTACTCGGATTCTGTCATCCCGCACACTGGAAAGAAAAAAGGAAATGAAAGTTTCATAGAATTACTCATTATCTTGAAGTATCTGCATTAAGGCCTCAGCCTGAACAACAACAAAAAGACGCTCATTCCTTATTCTACCTGATATTGAAAATGGGGAGGGGGGAGGGAGGGAAGGAAGGAGAGGATGGAGAGAGGGAGGGAAGGGGTGGGGAGAGAGAGAGAATATGAGAACAGGACCCTAAGTTTCCCTGCCCAAAAGCCTCCATTTCATAAAATGTCATAATTATTACTTTTTCTCTACTGGCATTTATCATCACCTAGCTCATTATGACTATATGTATTACCAAAAAGAAGAACTCATTGAAATTCGAGTTAACTGCATTATAAATATTAAGGGAGAAAAGCTGAGAAGCATTTGAATTTGGTTATATTACTTGTTTACAGAGTCTTAACCAGAGAATAAGGCATTGAATAATTTGATCTTTGAAGGACATCTTTGCCTGGTTTGCTTTTTGCTAAGTTCATTTTCACCACAACCTCCAAACATAGTAAATTTTTCTCAGATCAATTCTTGTTTTTTAAATAAAGCAGCTCTACAGTCTTTTTATGAAAAATACATAAGCAAAATCATATCATCCCTGGTGAATAGTGCATTTTCTTATTCATTTTCATTTTTCTCAACTCCCCATTCTCTCTTCCTTCTCTTCTTTTCTTCTCACCTCACTCCTTTCGCTGTTCCCATCCATAATAGTCTAAAATGAATCCTTCCATATTTTATTCTGTCCACATGATCAGACACAAGCATATATCATATACTTACACAATGTATATGTCAGTGTATTATAAACATGAGATTACGTTATACATACTTTTCTGCCTCTTGTTTTCTTTTTTTTTTTCTTTATTGTTGTGCTGGGTGGGGGCACACTGTGGCATTTGCAAAGGTTCTTACAATGTATCAAATATATCATTCTTGAATTAACCCCCTCCACCACTTTCCCTTATCCCTCCTCCCCTGATTTCTGGATAGTTTAACAAGTATCATTTTTGCATTTACATACATATGTACACATTTCTTTTCACCATATTCTCTTGTTTTCTTAACTAAATATTAACTCTTGAAAATCTCTCCATATAAAGTAACCTATCTATAACTCCTTCTTTGAATGCCTGGAAAACATTTCACAGTATGTAAATCCTGTAATTTATTCAACCATTTCCTTATTGTTTTGATGTTCACCTGGTGTTAGCAATTTGTTACGTTACTTTCAAACATTTGTATTTTAAAATAATTAAGCATTACAGAAACTGCTATAGCCTGTACCCATCCTTCCTAAGTCACATTCATCTATTATTTTTAGATATATGTCCTCTCTTGAAATAATAATAATAGGATACAAGTAAGAAGATGGGAGGGAAAGGAGATCTATATAGATACATATATCTCATATCTCCTATACATATATATGAAGATAGCATAATAAAACCTAAATACTGTTTCAAAAAGGAGGGCTAAGGGCTGGTGGAGTGGCTCAAGCCACTAGCCTAGCCAGTATGAGGCCCTGAGTTCAAATCCCAGTACCACCAAAAAAAATTAAAATATAAGTGGTACTAAGAGAGTATAGTAGAGGGGGTAAATTTACTCAAAATACATTGTACACATGTATGGAAACATCACAATGAAACTCCTTTGTACAATGAATTTACTCAAAAAAACTCAATTTTACTTAAGCATGTATTCAATTTTAGTAACAAAAGCAATAAATAATCTTATCTTGAATATGATGTGTATTATTACCACATATACTTTTATACTTTACAATATATTGTATCATTTAATACTTTTAATTTTATAAGTGCAACTTTATTACACCTATACAATTTGCTTTTGTGCTCAATGTTATAGTTGTAAAATTTATATATGAAAACAGTATACTTTAAAAAAATTTTAATGCTTCTAAGAACCTCATTATTTCCTACATTTTCTAGTAAAATTAAGGTTTCCCTTGCAAATTTAGTTCACTTGAACTTATTTCTGTGGATAGTGTGATGTTAGAAATACAATTTGATTTTCCATGTGATTATTAATGATCTAATCACCATGCAGAGAACATTCCATCTTCCCCTTGTGATTGATGATGCTACTTCTACCACATGTTACATTTCCCCTGAGGTAGACCCTGTTTCTGGCTTCTCAATCCTGTTCTTTTTGTTCACATTATATCAGCACCACAGTGCCTCCATTTCCAAGACTTGGTATGAGTATCTGGGAAGCAAGGCCCCTACCTTGCTCTTCAAAACAGTCTTGGCTACTCTTGAGCCTTTGATTTTCTTTATCAACTTCTATTTTATCTTGACCAGTTTCACAAGAAGTTTATGGGAATTTTTGACTGAATATATAAGGAATTGATTTAGAGAGAAATGATACCTGAACAAAGATATTCATTGTTAAAAGTAGTATACTTCTGTATTCATATCTTTTATACCCAACAATAAAGTTCTATAATTTTCTTCTTGAAGGTTTTATGTATCACTGATTGCACTCGTTCCTAACATACTCCTCTCATCTTTACCTTAAACAGAAACTGAGGGTGGGGCCAGCATGACAGGACTCTAAAGAACTGCTGATCTAGACACCAGGAAGACTGGCTGAGAAAGGAAAGTAGACAACAGAAAAGGTAAATAAAGCTACACTATAAACATCTGAGTTCTAGAAAATTTCCCAATTGTCTTCTTTGCTCCACATGCAGAGTTCTTCCCTGGTCTCTACACAAAACTTCAGAAAATTCTTGAAATAATCTCCAGTACCAACCTAAATTAAGCTTCTATCTTTCTATTTTTAATGATTTTTTTTCTGACTATGGTTTAAAAGTTCAACTATAATCCCTATGCTAAGTGAGCAACAGTATAATATTTATCTATTATGCTTAATAAGTACATTAAAATTCTAAAAAGAAAAATTTATGACTGAAAAACTGAGAGCTTATTTATATTTACTTCTACTTCATGAAAACGAAGTAAAAAAACACATAAATTCTCATACATGGGCATATGGCATTTATCAATCAGGTTCCCAACCTTAGTTTACAATCTAAAACAAAAGACAATAATGTGGTAGACACACAAGAAAGACACAGAAAATCCAAGAGACACACAAATGGTTATACCCCACCACAAAAGGAAAACACACCCACCCTCCTCAATATTATAGGTAGAAAGGGATATAAATGCAAGAAAAATTATAATTTTGCTATTTTTCTTACTATAACACAAATGTTATTACTCGGTTTTTCTTTTGTCATATGGAAAAGACGATAGCTTTTTGTTTATTTGTTTGCCTTGGTGGTGCAGGGGTTTAAGCTCAGGGTCTCATGCTTACTAAGCAGGTGCTTTACCACTTGAGTCACTCTGCCACTCTAAGAACACAGTTTTTTAGTTCCCACAAGTACTGTCATAAAATCAGTGAATTGAATGGCCAAACCAAAGACCACGTATAATACGTACACTATAACTGCATCTCAAGATATCCCTAAGTATCCCGAAGTGCAAGCAGGTGGTAGCAAACAGACAATAATAAGATGTACCTGTTATACATATCCATGTGGGGAGAAGAAATAACAGGACATCTAACAATAAGAAAACAGGACCGCCACAAAATAGGAACCAAGTACTCATAAGAAAGTAAAGTACGATATTCTGAGCAGTTGAAACTGGGGATAGGAGTTGTTGATAGTCATGGGGAATGAGTATAAGGAGTACACAGTAAGGTATGAAGGAACTATAAACCTCTAGGCCCTATGATTCACAAAACTGTGCAAATACTCTTTCAAGACAAAAATCTCACACTGTGGAGAAACTCCTGTGACCAGAACCCAAAGTGGGACAACAAAATCAAAGTAATAAAGGATTGAGGCAGAAGAAAGTGAGCTGCCATTGTTATTGGAATACTTGACAATAAGTAGCAAAATGGATGGATCCAAAAACCATTTTGAGTGAAAGAAATCAAATCAAAATGACTGTTAATACTATAAGACTCTGTGTGCATGAAAGGCAAAATGTGCAAAAACTTAGTAATTGCTTGGGGCAAAATATAAGAGGAAGGGACCAACTTCAAAGAACTTGAAGTATTGAGTTTTGTTCCATCCATACTTAAAACATGTGAACTGTATTGTTTGTAAACAATATCTTAAGCTAAAACAAAGAACAATACCAGAGCTGTGAAGTTAGAATGTCTATTCTGAGCTATGCTTCTCTTCTAAAAGTTCAGGAAAACTAATTTCATATAAAAATGAGTAAAAGAAAAGGATCAAGGTCAACTGCCATACAAAGTTATAAGGAAATGGATAATAAACAGACTAACATCTTTACAGGCAAGAGATGAATGTCATATACAGATACAGATATCCATAAAACATGAAAACTCTCATTTAAAATTTCAAGACAGGCCAAAAATCATTAGAAAAACAAGTTTGGTTTAAAAAAAAACTCAGAAATGAACAGGTAGAACTAAGAAAATTACAGATTGAAGAAAAAATCATTTCAGATATGAAGAGCAAACTAGAAGGAACACAAAACTGAATAAATCCTATAGGCAATAACGGTCAGTAGAAAATACAAAGGGAAAACCTGTCAAAGTGAAATGATAAATATTAACATGATTTAATAGAGAAAGATGATCTAAAACATGTATAAAAGTGCACCTATGAAGCAAAATTGAAGAAGAGGGCAAAGAAACAAGAAATATAATTTGAAACTATATGTGAAAACCCATCACATAGCTGGAAAAACCAAACCAGAAATAATCTAGCAAGATTATTTCTAAGCAAAGTGACAAGTTGTTTATGAAAGAAAGAAAAACAGCCATTCTTTGCAACAATGTTTTATGTTAGAAGACAATCTAGTCTTAAGACTAGTCTTATGTTTAAGATACTTCAGAAACAAACTCTACACCAGGAATTTTATGTCTAGCCAACCTACCTTCCATGAATAAAGGTCACAAACAATAGCAAATTGTAGTCACTAGAAC